CAAAGAGGAAGCTTCGCGCAGCATTTGTAAAGCACTAGAAAGCGAAGAGTGTTTAGTTGTCATAGGTACGTGAACAGACACTCACAGAAAATAAACATTTTGTTGGTTTCCTATACTTAGATATTCGCGTGTAATAGAGTTTCTGCGTTTCTCTTTGCCTTTCCAATATTTATATTTTCGGCACACAGGACACAAAATGACTGGAAATCTGGCTTTGCACGGCATGTCAGCAGAAAGTGGATTTTAGTGCCTGTTTGTTTGAAATTTCTTCCACGATTACCAAACACCAAAGGTTCGGCAAGGGGATAGCATATGTACACCCAAGGCCACAAAGAGGAAGCTTCGCGCAGCATTTGTAAAGCACTAGAAAGCGAAGAGTGTTTAGTTGTCATAGGTACGTGAACAGACACTCACAGAAAATATTCAATTACATCATACTTTCACTTTATTAAAGAACTAAATATTGTAGCCTGTAGAGTCATTGCTATTCAATGACGAGATAGGCAGATATATCAGAGCCGTTTCTAGGCAACGGCACGACAATCACATTCCCGCAGCAACAGACACGAAAGCAATAGTGGCACAGCAACAGAGGAACACTGTTTTCTGTGTGGTCCGTGCGAGGATTTATAAGAGAAACGAGGCATAGAGCTAGAGACTATGAGGTTGTTGTGAAATGGCCTTCGAGTTAGTTGCAAGAACTCTCATTTGTAAGTCCGGCTGTGAAGAGAAGACTTTATGTGTGATGTGTGGAATGTTTAATTCAGTGAGACTGTCATAGTTCCTGTATTAAAATCCGTTGCTAGGAAACCGTTAGTGGAGACTCTGTTATACTGAGAACGCTAGTATTTGTGTGTCAGTGATATGTAAAGTGTAGTCACGAGTCGTGAATGTATAAGTGGACAATAAATTGAGTCACCACTCCAAACCACACATACACACGACAATATGATACGCAAAGGAACAAATTGTAGTTAAAATTTCTGCGTACAAGATTTATGCACTTCCAAGATTACATTGTGTCATCACCCAGAAGACCACAATAGAGGCCACCAATGAGATAGCATCAATGAAAAGACGTGAAACATGCGTGTGAAGCTTATCTGCTCCATGAACAGTGATCATAATAAAATCATGGGCAGTTCAGTGTTTCCCGTATATAAAACATAAGCGTTCCTTTCTCAGAACTCTGGTCTTGTCGGCGGACCCCGCTCCCACGTACATCAGAATCCGTTAAGTACACCGGTACACAAACACAGAAAAACGCACACACGCAAATTAACATCCATGCTCTGAGTGTGATTCGAACCCACGATCCCGGCTTCCGAGCGAGCGAAGACAGTGCACGCCTTAGACCGCTCGGCTACCGTGACCGGCTCAATACTGATTATTGTTTATAAATATGACATGAGTTTTATTCACTGCGTGCAACCTTATTTCTTTAAACTATCGGCTCAAAATGGGAATGTATTGCACTTGTTGGAATGGCTTTGCACTGAGCACTCGCACGATGATTGAAGTCCATCTACTCTGCGAACCAGGTACATCATTCCTAATATAGACAACCTTACGGATGAAATTTCCCGTGTAAGTATGTTTGAATTTACCACAGGTGTATGGATACCAGAAGTGTACTAAAGCAGAATCCAGTAACTTTTAATGATGACGTAACGAACTGCATCAGTAAGTGCCCATGAAGCACCACAGTTCCCATAACAGACGGAGTGTACCGACAACAGTGCATGTCGAATAAAGGTCTCAGATTCAAAGTCTGAACAAAGAGTTAACTGCTACGTTCATCTGGTGCCAGCTTTTATTCATGCGTGAATTATTACTGTCGAATCGCATTAGCATGGACATCTGACATTTGACATGGAGACATGTTTCCGTAACTAATAATAACGTTACTAGTACGTGTCTCAGGTCCCATCACTTAGCGAACGACGGACTGTGTACTCCAACTCTCAAACATCGTGAGGCAGCCGGCAGATAGTGGTTAGTTAAGTTTGTTTAGGTATTTCGTTTATCTAGTTCCCCAGATAGTGCATAGTAGTTCAACAGAGTCTGGGCAGTACTGTTTTCTGGGATGTAATTCCATGTAATCTGGTAGTTACTTAACGACGTTTCGAACGAACCTGCTGCTTCTATCTTCAAGGAAGTTAATACTCTTATATGCTGAAGGAGGCAGCATTTACCTCCGAAACGTTGGTAAATATCAACCAAATTACAGGATGTCAAGTCCAAGCCGTTGTCACCGCAAGAAGGATCTCCAGTTTCATGTGGCTTAGCTTGGTCAATGTGGGGAATGACTGTGACGTAGCGTCTCGGGTTCTCCTGAATGCACTGCGGGAAAATGCCAATGAGCAGACGTTGGATAAGTGTCACAGGACATAGTAACAGCAGTCATTGCCTCAGGAACGAGGGTAGTTCAGTCGGTATAGGCACTATGCTAGAGACTGGAAAAACGGGGTTCAATTCCCGGGGCTCCTTAGCTTTCAGACTGGCTCTGGGGGCACACAGCCTTCTACCCAGTGGATACCGCGGACTTTATCCCCAGAAATAAAGCCACAGACAGCGGAAATAACCACTCACCTTTATCTAGTGCCGAGATCAAGAATGAGGGAGCTATACCGCCACTCCCGAATAGCATAGCAACTCATTTTACAGGGTTAGACTTAAAGAAATAGGCAGTCTAAATGACTCGTGTTCGTGAAACTTACATGCGCAGCCCAAAAAGTCGACAACACGTGCAAGTTTAGAACTTCAAGTTCCACAAAAGACTGTGTGGAATATCTTGCGTAAACGTTTACGAATGTTCCCTTACCGTTGCAATTATTGCAGATACTCACTGAAAACGACAAAATCCTCTGTCACTCATTCTGTATGGACATGCAGCAATGGAATGAAGGAAGTAATGATTTCTTTAACCAGCCAGTTTTCGGTGACGAATCAACGTTCCACATTAGCGGTACGGTGAACAAACAAAACGTTCGTATATGGGGAACTGAAACCCGAGAGCTATAGTAGAGCACGTGAGGGATTCAACTAAAGTGAACATTTTTTGTGCTGTATCCCGTAAAAAGGTGTACCCATATAAACTTCAGGGCGTACTTTTCAAACCATGTAAGTATCTCGGCCATGCTATTTAAAATCTTCTTTCTGTAAAACTTTGAAAGTGTCTATTTCTTTTAGGCTAACTCTGTATAATTAAGAACAAATATAATTTTTCTTTCATTATTATTATTATTATTATTATTATTATTATTATTATTATTATTATTATGGCTGTACAGCCCTTGTTGAACCTTGGTCTCTTTTTCAGTTTCTTAATCATATAACAGTAGATAGGACCCCTTGGACGGGGGATCAGCCCGTTTCAAGGCCTCTACTTAAACACAGAATACAAGCACAAGCACACACAGAATGACTTGAGTGGGATTCGAACTCACGATCCAAGCTTTCGAGCGAGTGAAGACATGCCATTCCTCAGAATGCGCGGTCACTGTACTGTGGCTAAATACTACGCAGAGGTCATCAGGCGAGAGAAATGGAAACTCCTATTTCAAAACGAGCCAAAGCTTACAGCAAAGTATTTATGAAATTCTGAATATCACTTATCATAAAGAACCATGCGTTTGCATGTATAAATACTACATGTTTCGGCCTTTTGAGACCATCAGAGCCTTTACAATCACCCTTCCTTCCATAGGCTATACCTCCCTCCACTGGCCAGTGTTTACACATTGGGAGTGCGTTTTACGGATACGGTGTTCATGCAATGACCTTATGTTATGAAACGTATTAAATATTAAATTAAAAATTTCTGGATGTGGAATGTCGTCTAGTAGATGTTTCGAAGGAAAAATAACTCCACCTTCTGCGTCATAGATTAATGAAAACGAGCAGCTGTTTTCTGCGTGGTTGACCGTTTATTCGGTTTACCTTCGAGTCACAAGTTGGACGTACTGAGCTCTTTCGAAACGTCTGTAAATTCTACCAGGCTACACTTCATCACATTCCAGAAGACATTACTCTTCATAAATGTGTTCTTTCCCCTTCAACCTTGAAGATGTAAGCAGTATACTTATCGAAATATCAGTAAATAGTCAGTAGACTACAGGGCGTCACATCATAGAAGAGTTCCCTTAGTTTCATCTACCAATACGTGCTATATGTCCCGCCCATCTCTCATCCTTGATCATAGTAATATTGTTAAGTGAGGCTCCTCTTTATTCATTTTCCTCTGACTCCTGTTATTCCTCTAATTTCAATATTCTCCTCAAAAGTCGTTAATCTCTGCGGTTATCTTAGAGTGAGAGCCCAAGTTTAACACCCATATGAGGTTGATGGCTCTGTTGGCCTAACACCCTCAAGACTGAATAGGAGCACAGTGCTAAATTTCTGATTTTCCGACTGCCTGTTGTTCTTTGGCTCTGAAAGGATATGTGAGCCCTTCTAGAAATTCTCACACCTGGTGGCCAGCAATTTGTCGCCACCTGCCCCAAACGTCCACATGTTTGGTCGTAATGTCTTGGCTCTATGTTTCACTTAATGCCACTCTCAGTGGCTGAGGCTACATAGCGAAGAATAGTAGAGCAATTAGCAGATAATGAGAAAAGTTGTAGCCTAATTTGGGATAATGTCCTGACATTTTCCTGGAGGGACTGAGGAAAACCAAGAATATATTAGAAGAGATCATGTCCAGCGTGAAATTCTAACCGTGCACCCCCAGAATTCAAGTTATTCAGGATAATTAACTGAGCACAATGACTTGCTCTGGGCTTCACGACCAGCGAGCTGTTCCCGGCCGAGGAAGGGAAAATTTCTCCTTATCACGACGACCAAACTCGATCATCGGCCCACTCACGTGTCCTCTTCAGTGATTAAGACATCTGGGGAAAGAATTTGACCACTCATCGTCATGTGTTACAGAGATAAATGCTTAGATATTTGCAGCATTTCCTCTGAAACCTTCGTTACATACGGCTTGATGAACTTACCTTCTGGTACAGGAAGGGGTGTGTGAGGGCGAGCCAGCGCTCTACTGCCATAACTACTGCAACGCAGCCCGAGCTCAGGCCGAACTGCCTCCAGATGACGCGCACCACACAGAACTCGAGGCTACACACCTTCTCGATTGGCAGGTAGACCTGCAGGTTCATCAGGATAAGCATTCCCAGCAGAGCAACGAGATCGTTCGAAGAGAGACACCGAAGCATAAGTACTATCTTCTTGTTCCTCATTTGCTTCTCACTTCGATATAGAATAGTCAGGGCTGCTAAGTTACCTAAAGCTCCGGTAACATACATTACCGTGAAAACCATCTGTGTCACTGCTCCCATCTTTCGAGTGCAGGAGGATACCTCCGTGCTGTTTGTAAAATTTAGCTCCATATCTCGTACAAGAATACTGACTAGAGTCTTTAAGGAGATATTCCTTTTCTGTTTTATTAGTTACCTTTATCTTTTGTTTCTTATCTTTGTTTATTGTATTTTATCCATAAATGACTTAGTCTCGAATAAAGCCGACCACGACACTATATCTTGGTGCTAATTTGCTCATTATATTTGCATTCATGTTTAATTATATCGGTCCTGTTAGAGTGTTTGTCAACTGCTAATTGATTAACAGAGCTTATAATTTTTTGTTATTCAAAGAATGAAAATTTGTAATAAGCATGGAGTCCGAGTTTAATTGAATCATCATGAAACTGACTAGAATGTATTTATAAGAATGTTTTCTGCTATTTACAATGCGTGCTTTAAATAACATATAGAATTCTGTGAAAAAAAAAAAGCTGCTTTCTGCAATGGTTCGCTATTCCGTAGCACAGAACTTATCCGTCAAAATTGTCTTCTTCAGCCTATTGTGTAACTGTGCTCTAATATGGAATTTATTTATCAAAATGATAGTCTTGCTAAGTTAAGTCATATAATTTAGCTCTCAAATTTGTTTTCACCCTGCTGTTGCTTTGTTCTGTAGTGCAGAACTGTGTGAAAACTGCTTTGAAACTGCTATTACAATCTTCTTTAGTATAGATATTACGTGTAACTATATGAAAGACCTTTAACACTGTTGTCCCATTGTTTTTTAGTATAGAGTGTAGATATATGAAAGTTTTACACTGTTCTTTAGTAAAAAACTTAGCTCTGTGAAAGTTATTTTAGAACTATTGTTGCACTTTTTAGTATAGAAATTAGCTATGCTACTGTTGAACTGTTCCTTAGTTGAGAACTTGGCTATGCGAAATTTCTTTTAACGCTTGTTGAACTGTTCTTTAGTATAGAAATCATCTAAGCAAAAATTGTTTTAACACTGTTGTCGCAGTATCCTTTAGTAAGGAGTTTAACTATGAAGAAGTACATTTAACACTGAACTTGTCTGTAGTATAATTATTAACTATGAGAATGTTATTGCTTTCACACTGCTGTTCCGCTGCTCCTCACGATGAGAGCTGTAGCACTGTTCATGTCACTTAGATATGTCCAATTGGGACTGCGTGATCTGTAAACTATACTTTAGCTTTGCACGTATGTTTTGATTTAGAATTAATATCAGTTACTTGGTAAGGACCACAAAATGATCCGGCGTGCAGCTCACAAACTTGAACGCCTAGGTCAAAGGCGAAACGTTTCGAGCGGCATTCCATGCCGCCCTGCGCCTTCACGCACGTTGTAGCCAAGCCAAGACTGCCACCCGCTTTGTTGTGTGTTCACAGCGCATGGATCAGAGCTGCAGCGAAAGGACACCCCCCTTGCGCAGAAGCTGTTGCGCAGACATTCCCTTAACAACTACGTGAAGACAGTAGAGGGATGAAAGGAATTTTATGGATGCGTTTCGAAACAACTCCATTGCTGCACGTTATGAACACACAATTCTTCAGTAGCTGTTACTCTAATACAGAAATTGTACCGGATAGTTTTTCTCATTAGTATTCGGTGGACCCAGGTTTGAATCATGGGAGCGAGACCTGATATTGTAACTGAAGTGTTTCGTGGCTTTTCTTAGTCCGTAAATATCTCAGCAAGTCAACAAGGGTGCCTGTGATACTAACAAATCTAACGTCCATACTTCGTAACCAGTATCGGGTCGCAGATGATGTGATAGTGTGTGTCAGCTGTCGCTCTCATCAGAGGGCAGTGATATGGGGTAATGGTTTAATTAGGATACTTGTGGAAAGTCGAAGAAAGCCGTGTTCTTATAACGCATTGCCCACCACGAATATCACAAGAAATTACCCGACATGAACTCCAGGCTCCTCGGTGAGAAGCCATTGTCTAAGGTCTAAGCTACGGCACAAGTTTACCTTTAATACTATCAGTCAAAAGAAATGAATGGCAGGAACGGAAATCTTCAAGTTGAAACACGCATTTTCTTAATGAAAGCGGAATTTCTTCTTGTGGAGTAAAATGTTGCCAGTCGCCAAATCATGTATTATTTTCTTGAGATGCTAATTCTTCTTTCCACTGTTCTTTTAACGTTCTAACAATGTAACTAGTCCGAGACGAACGAGAATTTCAATTCTCACTTAAACTACTACTACTTTTTTTTTTTGCCTTGGCGCTACAGCCCCAGTGGGCCTAGGCCTACCTCCATGATCTTCTCCGTTCGATTTTTCTAGATCTTAGACATTCGGTAGGACTCCTTGGGCGGCTGATCAGTTCGCTGCAAGGCCTCTCTACCTGTACACAAACACAGAAAAACGCACACACAAACTAAACATCCATGCCCTGAGCGGGATTCGAACCCACGATCCCGGCTTCCGAGCGAGCGAAGACAGTGCATGCCTTAGACAGCTCGACTACCGTGACCGGCAAACTACTACTTCTACTACTACGGGAACTAATTTCTGAGACTACTCCAACCTGTGTGTCCGAGCATCTGGTGTCTTTGAGCACATTGTTGTCGCACTCATATCGCTATTTACACTAACGCACACTTGGACTACACTAATTCAAACGGCTTGAGTCTCTTGAGCCTTCTCACTGTCCTCTTGTTGTCAAGATGCTGTATCGCTTCCACGTTGCTGCGGTGGTGAAGCCAATCTTCGAGCTTCTTAGATATTCTTTTCATTTCGGCAGTGACCATCCTAATGCCTAGATCCCTGTGGATGTCACTATTACGGGCATACCAAGGGACATTTACTATTCCTCTCAGCACTTTGTTCTGAAATTTCTGTATCCTTTGAATGCTACTCTTACTGGCACATCCCCACAGTTGAATTCCATAGGTCCAGACCGGTTTTATGACCTTGTTTTGTACTACTATTATGTTTTGTATTGATAACTGGGACGTCCTACCCAAGAGCCACTTCGCTTTCCTGTATTTAATCTTTCCACTGGTACACATATTATGTCTATCGTTCGTCGGTTTAAGGAGAAATAATAAGTAACTAATTTTATGGAGAAGTTCCAGGTGTGCAGCCACTCAAGAACTTCCCAACAATTTACGGAAACGGAAGGTTCATTGCCGTGTTTACAAGAGCCTTCCACTGGTCTCTATCCTTAGCCAGATCTATCCAGTCTATATCCCCCTAACCATCTCTGTAAGATCCATTTAGGATTATCCACCCACCTACGCCTTGGCCTTCCCAATGATCTCTTTCTTTCTGACTTTCCTACAATTATTCTATATGCATTCCTCTTCTCCCCCATTCGTGCTAGATGCCCTGTCCATCACATCCTCTTTGACTTGGGCCTTCTAATTATGTATGGGGAAGAGAACAAGTTATGAAGCTCCTCATTAAGTAGCATTCTCCTACGTCTTGTCACTTCATTTTCCATCGTTCCAAAATATTCCCAGCACCACACTATTCTCAAAATATCCTCAATCTATGTTCCTGTCTTAAAGTCAGAGGCAAAGTTTCACACCCATACAAAACCACAAACAAAATTTTGCTTTCGTATATTCTAATTTTTATGTTTTTAGACAGCAGAAGGGAACACATAAGGTTCAGGACTGAACGGTAGCAAACATTTCCCGTATTCAGTCTCCTCTTATTACCTGCTGAATACAATTTCGATTTGTTACTGTCATTCCAAAAATCTGAATTGTGTCACATTTTCAAAACATCTGTTACCTATTTTTATGTCACGATTTTGCCCTGCGTTTTAATTAACGAGACAGCAACATATACTTATGTAAGATTTGAGGTTTTCACTGAGGTGACTATGAAGAAAGTAGTCTTCTGGGATGTGGCACTGTGTAGATGTGGTGTTAACAGACGTTTCGGAGGAACGTATCGCCTCCATCTTCAGGGTAGAAGGAGAAATAAGAAAATCCGCAAGCGAAGAGACAGTGAGATCAGGTGCAAACAGACCTCCGAAACGTCGGTTAACACCACATCTACATGGTGCCACATTCCAGAAGACTGGTTTCTTCAACATATACTTAGTTTTCTCTGTGTTTACTTCTAGACCAAAATCCTTACCTGCGTCAATTAAAGTGTTTGTGTATTTCTTTATGGTATCTACATTATCACCCAGTAGATTCACATCATCGGCATAGACCAACAGCTGATGTGTCCTGTTTAATTTCAGTCCCACCTGGCTTCACTGGACCTTCCTAATTGCATATTGTAAGGCAAAGTTGAAAAGGAGTGGCGATATAGCATCTCCTTGTTTTAGACCATTCTGGATAGGAAATTTATCAGACAACTGTTTATCTACATGGACTTTACTATACGTTTCGTTTAAACACATTTTAATCAATTGAACTAGTTTCATGGTTATCCAAAACTCTATCAGAATATTGTACAATACTTCCCTCCTAACTTAATCGTAGGTTTTCTTGAAGTTTATGAATAGCTGATGTACTGTCTCATTGTACTCCCATTTTTTCTCCAATATCTGACGAATACAAAAGATCTGATCTGTAGTTGATCTGTTATATCGAAACCCACACTGATGATCCCCAATAATTTCATCTATATGAGGATTTAACCTTGAGGGAAGAATATTGGACAAAATTTTGTATGAAGTTGATAAGAGTGATATCCCCCGATAATTACTACAGTCAGTGTTATCGTCCTTCTTGTGAACTCGTACAATAATAGATTCTTTCCACTGATCAGGCAATTTTTCCTTAATCCAAATTGAAGTAATTAGCTTATAGGTCTTGGAATGAAATATGTCACCTCTTGCTTGAATCCGTCCTGTCTGAATTTTATCACTTGTTGGCGATTTATACCGTTTCAAATATGTAAGAAAAATTTTAGCATCTAAATGACGGAGATCATTTGTTAATGGTTGGGCTGTATGCAACGAACACGTACATTCAGAAACTAAGAGAAGTAGTTCCTCCACCTATTCAAAATGTTGTGGGAATCTGCAAGCAGATCACCATTCTCATCTTTCACTTAATTACTTCTGGGTTGGTAACCTCTCCTAAATTCATTTATTCCTCTATACAGGTCTCTGTTCTTGTTCTTATTGTTCTTTGGAAGACCATAAATTTTGTATTTCAGATATTCCTTCTTTTATTCCTGATATTCCTGCTGGTTTCGCGTCTTATATTGTTCAGATTTCCCTTGGACCCTGTAACCACTGCAATTTGTCTTGTTTCCTTCGATAGATTAATTCTGAGCATCCTTCATCAAACCCTGGCTTATGCTTCTTCAATTCATAATAACATAGGCTCACTTCGGCTGAAATTTTGATATTATCTCTAATGCTTTCCCAAGTTGTACCAATATACAACTCAGCGTGGAAGTTTTCCAAAGCTGCGTACCTATTTGGGATTTCAACAAAATACTGCTCTTTACCCTCTACCTCGTTTAATTTCCTGAGATTGAATTTCTCTATATGAAATCTGTGTGTTGATTGCTCACTGCCAGTCTTTCCCTAAATATTACTACCACCAGGTAGTTGTCAGTATCACAATTTGCTATCCTGAACAATCGAACATAGGATACACTTTAATACTGTCTCATGGATATCAGAATGTTATCAATCTTTTGTGAGTTTTTTTATGAGGAGATATCCAAACAAATTTATGAATTTTACATTGTAGAAACTTCGTACTTTTAACATATTTTTTGGTGTGGCAAGAGTTGTTACTCTATCTTCATTATCATTACTAATTTCGTGCGAACTCTTATTCCCAGTTGTTAGTTTGAAAATGACTTCCCTACCTACTTGAGCATTAAAATCTCACAACAAAATTTTCGTAACTAAATAACTAAATAAAATGTTTTAAATATCTGTTTATGCCTTCCAGAAAACAGATATCCATTATAAAGATTGGTGGTGTAATTAATAATAATTCGAAAAGATTCGGAACATTGCGGACACAAACAAACTCCGTGATTTTACTCCGCCAGCGAACTATACCGACCGAGCGACCGCCGCTTGTCGGAGAAGTTAGTGCCAATTTTAGAGGATTGATGGTGTCGCGTGATCAGCTCAACGAATCCCCACGGCTGTTAATTTCGGTTTCCTAGACCGGGGCCGCTACTTGTCCATTCAAATAGCTCCTCAATTATCCACACGAGGCTGAGGGGACCCCGTTCCAGACCCATTATTTCTAAAAGAACCGGTATCGTGGGGAATCGAACCCAGATCTCTGGAACTGTAGACAGGATCTCTGACTACTAAACCAGGGAGGCGGTCACATTCAACAAACTATGCTAATGTACCTCAGCGGCAATGGCTGGGGGGAAGCGCCCACTTTCCGAATTGAAGTCAGGA